TTGTAATCCCATCATTCTAGAGGTAGAGGCAGAGTTAGAAATTCAAGGTTGTGGCAGGAGGATCTCTGTGAGTTCGAGGCCAGCCTGGTCTACAGAGCAAGTGTCAGGATAGGCTCCGAAGCTACACAGAGAAATCCTGTCTCGAAAAACAAGACAAAACAAAAAAATTCAAGGTTGTGGGGTAATGGCATACATCTTTAAACTCAGGCACATTTCTGAGTTTGAGGTCAGCCTGGTCTATGGAGCAAGCTCCAGGACAGCTAGGGCTAGGTAGTGAGATCCTGTCTTGATGGCAACAAGTTTTAGGTCATTTTTTGGCTACATAGGGAGGTCAAGTTCAGGTTGAGATTTATGAGGCCTTGTACAGGCGCCCTGGCAAGAACACTCTTGTCTGCCACAGCCGGGGATGCCAAAGAACCTCTGCAATCCACACCAGGAGCATGTGCCATGCCGGGAGTCCCCCGCAGAGGCAGCTTCCAAATAGAAGCCCTGGGAATGAAAGGACAGAAGGGTACCCTCAGCAAGAAAGTTCAGGGTGGAGATGTGGCTTCTGGTCCTTCACTTCCCTGAGAGGGTATCTGCCCACACACAGACTGCAGACCCCCAAGCCCAAGCTGCCTTGGATCACCTTTTTGGAAGTAGGCTGACCAAGGCTGGAACCAAATCTCTGGGTCTCTGAGTTTAAGGGAGTAAGGTGAATTTTGTCCTAGTGATGTTGATGCAGCCCAGGCTATCCTTAAATCACTATGTAACCAAGGTTGACCTTGAATTTCTGATCCTCCTGCCTCTACTTCTTGAATGTTGGAATTTGAGGTATGTGCTGCCACACCTGGCTCTGGTTTGGGATTTTATTTCCTTGCATGTTGTTTTGCCTAATCTGTGTTCCTGCCTCCACCTCCCCAATACTGGATTACAGTTGTGAACCACCCCACCCTGTTGTTAGTGGGTGGGTCGAGGTTTATAGACTGCAGAGTGAGTTCCCTAGTCCAGTCAAGGGTAGACACCTCCTCTCAGTCTAGGTTTGTTTGTTCTTCTGGCTTAAAGTTAGGAAGACTGAGAGGGGTGGGGACAGAGCTGGGGATGTCTCCAAAATTCCCAGCTGCAGCTGGAACCAGTCTGGCAGACCCAATCACTAAGGGTCCGTGTGATGGAACAGCTAGGAAATGGGACTGAACTGCCCTTCGCCCCCTTCCTCCCTATCCCACTGGGAAGTGTGGAAGGACCTTGGTGCTCCGGCTGCTCACAGAAGATGTGGTAGAAGCGCTGCTGGCCAGGCTCAGGCTGCTCCGGGGGCGGCCCTGCTCCACAGCCAACTTTGGGAGAAAGAGAAAGAGGCTGTGTCTCTCCGCTGATGGGGGCTGAGGACAGATCTGGGGTCAGGGCTCAGGTCGGAGAATGCTGAGGAGAAAGAAACTGTTGTTTGGGAACTGAGGGACTGGGGGAGGCCATGGTCAGGGATCGCATACCAATAGTAGTGCCAAGAGAGGTGGGTGGCTCTGGCAGCTGTGGGGAGGGGGCAGCTGTTTGCAGCAAGGCCATAAGAATAGGGGCTCCTTTATTCCAGCCTGCTGAACTCTGGCTAGGAATGTGACCCCCTGTGTGCACAGGGATTTTACTCCTTGCCTCCTTCAGGGTGCCCTGGGCTACCTGTTCCTTTCTTCTCTCATGAACCCCCAAACCATCTTTGTCAGCTCCCCAAGACAATTCCTAAGACACCAGGAATGAGCATCCAGGCAAGTCCCTCCCAGCCCAGCCAGGGACTTACCCAGCTCTGGTGTCCCAGTGACAGGTCTGCCACCTTTTTACGTCTCAGATACTGCCTCTCAGGGCTGCCTCTTCTCACCTGATGTATGACTGCTTCAACTCTGTCTTGTTTATGAGTTCTTGCTCACTCACGCTCCTCTCTGTCTCTGTCTCTGTGTCTCTCTCTGTGTCTCTCTCCTTGTCTGCCTATATCAACCGTTTCCAGTCCCTCCTCTTACCTTACTGCTCCTGTCTAACTCTCCCCTCCCTCCCGTCTCTATCACCCCCTCAGTCCCTCTCTCCACACTCAGTCTCTTTCGCCCCCACCAAACACATCTGTTTCCTTTCTCCTCTTTCAACTTCTCTTCCTCACTTTCTCTCTTCCTCTCCTGGTTTCTCTTTCCTCTCTGCTGGGCTTTCCCTCTCTCTGGCAGCCGCCCACGCTGCTGCCTCCCCTCCCAATCATGGCTATCCCCGCCTCTTCTGGCCTCCCCACTATACAGCCTGACCCCTGGCTCAGCTGCCCCCACAGCTAAGGAGAGGGATTGGGATTCTTCAACTCTTGGCTATCCTAAGCTGTGTCTGGGACTCCTCAACATTTGGAGCAGAGACTTGAACCCCAGGACACCATGGGTTTGTTGTTACTTGGGGTGCTGAGCTATGGTTCCTTCAAGAGAGGTGTCCTGGGTCATTTGAAGAATGGAGTCTCCTATTCCTGAAACCTTGGAAAACTGGGATACAGCCTGGCTGGTGGGTGCCTGTGAAGGTATGAGCTATAAGTCCGACCTCAAGGACTGTACACCCATGTCCAGAAGGCCTTGACTAAATGAGGCAGTGATCGTTAGCTCCTATACTGGAAGGAGGGGACCATAGTCCCAGAGTACTGGCCTCTGGCAAGGACAGGGTTAAGTGGCCAGTTGGAAATTTCTCCCTCAGATCAGACTGATAACCCATTAAAAGGGAGGTGTGGTGACTTCATACATTCTGAGGAATATGGCTGGGCTGTAGATCAGAGCTTGAAGTGTAGCTCCAAGGGAGCACTGTCCAGTATGTGGGAGGCCCTGGGATCCACCCCCAGAAACACCACACACACACACACCCACACACACACACGTATACCACACACACATCGCATACACCACACCAGGCAGGGAGAGCAGTGGAGATTGGAACTGGGTCTCTGGATTTTTACATCTACATCTGTGATTTAAGCAGAGCCCCACCCCTACCAGAGTACAGTCCAATCAAAATTTCAAATTGCACAAACAACTTTTATATAATTTTGAAGCAGTGAAGAAGGCAGATGCCTGCCTATGAAAGTAACAAGTCTGTTTAGCAGCGTTCTTCATACAGTATTTATTGAGGTCACACTTGTAACCTCTCTACCGGGGAAGCTGAGGTAGACCTGCTGAGAGTCCCAGGATAGCCTGGGTTGCATAGTCAGTTCCAGGCAACCCTGGAATACAAAATGGGTCCCTGTCAAAAGACAAATAAAACAAAGGAAATAGAAATAAATCATTTTTAAAAAACAGTCTCCACTGAAGACAGGCATTGGGCTGGGGTCACTGCTTCTCTATACACAGTAGGAAGATTGCCCAAAAATCAAGGTTGGCCCGAGTAAGTTCCAGGACAGTGTAGACTAAACTGTGAAACCCTGTCTTAGACAGACAGAGACAGACAGACCCACACACACAAAACAACCAAAGGACTAGAAAGATGGCTCAGGGCTTGAGAGCACTTGCTGCTCTTGCAGAGGACCGGAATTCAGTTTCCAGAACCCACAAGGAAGTTCACAATCATCTCTAACTGCAGCTCTACAAGATCAGAAGCTATCTTCTGGCCTGCTCGTGCATCACATTCGGAGGTCTACATATACACACACACATATACATGCATATATTTTTTATGAAGGGAAAACACTCATACACAAAATAAGGGAAAATATTTTTTTTGAGACTATGTCTCACTATGTAGCTCTGGTTGTCCCAGAACTCACTATGTAGATCAGGAGAGGCTCCAAATCAGATCTGCCTGCTTCTCCCTCTGAGTGCAGAGATTAAAGGCATATGCCATCATGGCTCACGAGACAAAAAAATTTTGCCTGGCGGTAGTGGTGCACGCTTTTGATGCCAGCACTCGGGAGGCAGAGGCAGGCGGAGCTCTGTCAGTTCGAGACCAGCCTGGTCTACAAGAGCTAGTTCCAGGACAGCCTCCAAAGCCACAGGGAAACCCTGTCTCAAAAAAACAAAAGCAAAAAGAAAGATAAAAATTTTTTTTCTCATGTAGACTTGGACAGTCTGGAGCTAGCTATGTAGTCCAGGCTGGCCTCGAACCCACAGTAATCCTTTCTCTGCCTCTTTAGTTCTGGGATTAAAGGCGCGCACCTCCGCTGCTGGCATTTTAAAGTTTTTTAATAATAAATAAAGCTGGGTGGTGGTGCACGCCCTTAATCCCGGCACTCTGGAGACAGCAACAGGAGGATCACTGATTTCGAGGTCAGTCCTTGTCTTTCAAAAAACAAATAAAAGAAATAGAAACAGAAATTAATTGGGCTGGTAAGATGTGTGCCAGCACTCAGGAGGCAGAGGCAGGCGGATCTCTGTGAGTTCGAGGC